CCAAACCTGCAGCTCTTGTGGGTTGTTCCCGGTCTGCAGTGGTCAGTACCTATCAAAAGTGGTGCAAGGAAGGAAAAGCGGTGAACCAGTGACAGGGTCCTAACCTTAACCTCAAAGGGTTTTACAATAATGTACGTACAGTCTCTATCTTTAGACTCTCTATTTGAATGAAGAAAAAGGATGGAACTTCAAGAAGAGCAACATGTGCATAATATCTCCTCTTTACAGAACAGATCGAAATAACAATAGTAAAATAACAACATAATTGAAGAACATTTTTAAAGAACAGAAGAATACAGGCCTATAAGAGTTAAAATGGCAACACAACAAACAACTTTTATAAAGCTCCTGCTTGTTAACAGGAAACTCATTGAGGTCAGTTTCATCATTTTTACTATTTTCACAATTTTCACTGCCTCTTTCTATAGTCTCTTTTCTCTTCTCTCCACTGCCAAATCCTATTACATTAGCTGCTGCAATAGCCTGATCGCCCCACAGGGATCAATAACTGTTCCAACTTATCTCAATCTTACACTGAATACTAACCTGCACAGCATCAGAGGATGGATGTGTAATTGGCTGCACTAATTCAACACACACAGTTTGAAAAGACATCTAGAGTCTCGCTGTAGTTTGGGACATCAAATATTTTGTGTTACCTTGCCTAAAAAACGCTGTATGTTGTGTAGCAGCTCATACAAAACATCTGAAGTTGTGTGGAACTACAGTAAGGGCAGAAATAATGGGGTTTAGGGGTTTTTATAAAAGTAAATAAGGGTTAATAAAAAAATATGGGGAGACAAAATTACTAAGTTAATATTAAGTTAGTTATAAAAAACAGGTTTCAACTAAAGCTTCAATTCACTGGTTTAACTTTGGGCTTCTAATTATAAACAGGAATGAATAAAGACACGATTCAATTAATAAAAATAGCTGGAGGAGCTTAAACTCAAGGAGTGAAATTAATGAATGTTGACTCAGAGAGCCGGGGTAGACCAATGAACTTATAGACTGATGAACTGATGAGAACTTTTCAAGGCCATTCAGTCACTTTCAGCAGCTTTTAAGGCCTCCTATAGGCCTTCAATAATTTTCAAATTCAGCAGCAGCAACCACTGTGCACACATACACTGCAATGAAGGTCACAAGATAAATTATGTAAGAGTGCATCAAGTGTTGGTGGCTCCATATGCCATTAGATAAGATCATCCTTTATTGACCCCCTAGAGGGGAAATTGTGAATTATTGAACAAAATGTTATAAGAGAAAATCAAACTTCTTGTTTGGTGACAATGTTTAATGTTTGGATTAGTTTAAGTGCAACAGGTTGCATGAAGCCCTAAATTAATTTCTATAGGGGGTCAGCAGGACAGGCTATTTCAATACTGCCTCCTGGTGTCCAGCTGGCAGTACTACACTTGAGCTTTACCTATTGCAGGAGGGAATTGACTTAAATGATCTCACACATTGCAGTCATTCTTAAACTATAGGCATTAATTGGTGCTATAACAGCCTCCACTCTTCTGGTTTCACCAGATGTTGAACCCGGCTGCAGGGATTTGCTCCCATTCTGACAGTAATGTTGGCTGATAAGATTCTGTCCAGTTCTGTGTTCCAGTTCATTCCAAAGGGGTTGGACAGTGTTGAGGGCAGGGATCTGTGTAGACCAGTCAGGTTCTTCCACATCAAACTAGTCTCCATTTTTGGACATCTAATATGAGTTAATAGAGATATCCATGTACCTATATGATAACATGAATTCATCCAAGATAGGGGCTTAACGATTTTAAACCAACAAATCACTTGTCTTTAGATCACTGAATGTTTTCACTACAGCTGTACTTTAACATATTTAAGGACATTTGGAACATTAAATCCGGAGAATCATATTTAATCATTGTATTCACATTTTACAACATATTTGCAGGTTTTCACAAGTGAAATTGAATTCTAGTCAGAATTTGGATATATCTGACCTAACATGAGGTACTTAAACTATAAATGGAAATATTTAAAAAACAGGAAATTAATTCTTAGAAGCCATGAGGTCTGTGTGGTGAACTGTTTAGTAAATACAAACATGACATACTGTTCTACAACCTGTCTCTAGATGAGGGTAAACAGCTGAATTTTATTTTAATACTTTTAGAAGTATTCATTCAGATAACACACAATGAAACCCCTTTATGACCTCCACTGCAGATGTCTGTAAGCAATAACAGTATCATCTGATTTATGGGCTGTAGTGGGTGATTATTAATAAAAGTCACTCTCCTGGTCACCTTGTATATTTTGTCCTCCTTTAATTCTCTTGGGATTTTTAAACAATAGGTACCAGTACAGGAAGCAAACTCAGAACAAATACTTTATTCAATACAGCGAATATATACATCGGAAACAGGTCATTCCTCCTCATCCTCCTCCTTCTCCTCCTTCTTCTCTGCTGGTTTCCGTACAATGTCTTCGCTGTTAAACCACAGCGCTTCACTGGTGTGACTGGCGATGATTGCCCGCTCAATGAAAGGTCCTGAGGGGAGGAAGAGGACGAGAGGAAAAGAAAAACTGTCAACATTAAGAGTTTGTTTCAATGTGTTGAAAGGGGGGAGGTGTGAAGTTGAAAGCAGGAGGTGGAGAGGACATTTCTAAAAACACAAATAACAATTTGCAAGATGATTCTTCCAGTAAAATGGCAGACACGATTAAGAATACATGCATCAGACTGAAATGAAAACAATTATTTTTAAACTTAGGGTTGGATATGGATTTAGGAAAGCCAAAAATATTACTTATAAATTTAGCTGACATTAGGTCATTTTGACTAATGATGAATCTATCATCATTTAAGATGTATTGTAGGGCTGCAACTAACAATATTTTCACTATTTATTAATCAAACTATTCTTTTCTCAATGAACAGATTATTCATTCTGCCTATCAAATGTCAGAAATTAGCAAGATCTCCCAAGTGACTGCTACAGATGTTTTGTTTCAGTCCAAAAATCTGCAGATATTCAGTTTATTATGACACTGAAATCTGTGAATATTTGCTGGTGGAAAAGCCTTTGAAAGGAGTATTTGGACCCACCACTGGGGGCTCATTATCTTTTTCCCCCCACTTTCATCTGCTAAAGGGGGAAAGTTTCTCTCTGCTCACCTTCAATTTCAGTTTAACTCATGTATGGATCAGCAGGATTTGTGAATTCACAACTAGTTTGGAGCCAATCTTGGTCCAGAATCCAACTAACACAAGTATAATGTGGAAACTTGAAGCCTCCAGTGAACATGCACTAAGACAAGGCTCTATAGCAGTGCTTCTCAAACTTTTTCTGGTGTGCCCCCCCTTCAGAAAACAGGATCAAAGTTGATTATAAGTTCAACTCCTCATGCAGTGGCTCCATGCCGCACAGTGAAGTAGGAGATACAATATAAAATATGCATATTCTGAAGATGCTGGATTGTTCAATGAGGGAGTAGATGCCAGTTTAAGAATTTAGAAATAACACATTATTATTAGAAGAAATATAATAAATAATTGAACTTCTTTATGGAAAACCAATATCAGACACATTTTATATATCTCAAAACATATCTGGAGGGAATCTTTCAACATTTAAAATCAAAATATAAAAATGAGAAAAGAAATGCTTTTCCAGTTTTTCTGTAGCAGCCCTCAGAGATCAACCTGCATCATATTTGAAGTGAGCAAGACTGACTGAAAAATATTACTGAACAACATTAGGCCTGGTCTACACCTGGGATGGAGCAGTTCTATAGAAGAATATGGTTTCCAAAAGTTATTTAGGACATAAACAGCCAGACTCAATAGCAACTCTTCAATAAAAAAATAAAGAGCGTGAAAACTTTCAACACATGAGGCTGAGCATCATCTTGCATGAGATTATGTAAAAACAGCTGCCTTCAATCTCTGTCACCCACTCATCCTGTTTCTCCTTTATTTGAAAACATGCACAAATTCCCTGCAGTCTTTTATTTCTCACAAATCTACTTTTAACTTACTTATGAATAGTTATTTCAGCATCATTTCCCCTGCTGTCTCATATTTCCTGCATTCAGGTCTTTATTTATCAGCATATGGATGTGCTTTTGTCATGAATAATTCCCATAAGCCCCTCAGGGTTTTTCTTTCTCTCACCCACACGTTGATTTTCCACTCATTTCTTAGTTTTGAGCATTTATCTGTGAAGTTTCTTCTTGTTTCTACCCACGCTGCAGCCATTAGCTTCTGTCCAAATGACAATTAATGGAAATAAAAGGTGGGGGAAATTTATTTCAAGTTAACTGTAATTATTCTAAATGTTCACATTTTCTGATCCTTGACTTCTGGGTGCAGGGGTAATTCAATTCTGCCCAGAGTCCTTGTGCATTTCTTGTCAGGGTAGTCAAACTGCTGTGTAGTGTTTGCTGGCACAAACTCAAAGAGGGCTCTTTGCTGACAGAGTTCGTAAGAGCCCAGGTGGCTTGGCTCGATGCACCGTCTTCATCACCAAATGCTGCTCTGCGATGAAAATGACAGAGCTGAAAAGGGCACTGAGCGAGACGTTTCACTCAGCTACTGTAGTGCAAAGGAGCGGCGCGACAGAGCATCAACACTTCCATGGTGAGCAGTGAAGAGTCCCACAGGGATCATCAAGGATAAAATGGCACAAGCTCAAGTTTACTGTGAGCACTTTAAACTGAAGCATCTGCTGTGAGTGCACAGACCTGCTGCTGGGTCTCTTTGGTCTGACGCAGAGTGAAAAGTTTAATGACCTCACCAAGGAACTTTTGGAGGTCTTTTTGGTCCCATTTGATTTGTTTGTTCAATAATCAGCATGGCATTTCAAAAACTGATTTTTTTTAATGACAGTTGGTGGGAGGTTAGGTCTTGAACCATGAGACAATTGATTAGTATTAGGATTACTTAACATTCAGATTTTTCAACATTTCTTCTCATTAAATCTGGTGTCAGATCTGAATGCAGATTAAACATATTCTACTACTAAAGTGCTTTCTAGTGTAAGTTTTTGTATTTTGGTTTATATTAAGGTTCTTAAAATACAATAAAAAGTTCCCCAGTGCACATAGAAAAAACTTGCAATTGGCAAGCAGCTCTTTTACTGAGCAGAAGAGTGCATTAAGACAAGATTGCTATGGATTTGTCCACTATGTGTTGCTGTTGTTTATGGTGCATGACTTCACAAGACCAACTATCCCTTTTTTCACATCTTTGCGCTTCCTTAAGTACAGAGGAGATAATCATGAAAACCAGAGCTGATATTTTCACAGAGGCCAGTACGAGATAATGCACCACATATTGTGTACTTTCACACAGAAGGTTTACGAGACGAGAGAGTATGACGATGACTGTGGTCCACAACTGCACTCGAGTACTTACAAGGGCAAGGAAAATTCAAGCGTGCATGTTATGGCAGAATTTGTGACTCTCTAACACTTTTTTCCTATGACATCTCTCATGACTCCGTTCAGCCATGAGCATGTGGTTCCGTTCGCTCATATATAGATCTACACAATTTTGGGGCATACATCAAAATGGCCATTATTTCCTGGAAAACAATGATAGAGTCACACTTTATTGACAAAAGGAGTCTGCATGTGGACCGCAAAACAAAATAACAGTAACCACATCTAAAAACACAGGAGCAATAGTGGTAATATGGTCCTCAAGAGAGAGATCCAAGATAGATGGGAAAGTAAAGAGTTGTTGATATGAGGAGTTCCAGGTCACAAAGGGCCAGCGGTTTTAAAGCATCCTCGATCAGCGTTTCTGAAAGCTCTGCAGTTTACTTCAGTGGGGGCACCGTTAATGACATTTTATTTTGCAAGCTCAGAATCAATTATATTGTAGATCATTTAAAGCCTTTCCAGCTAATGACGGTCCATTAGCTGATGATTACACTCTGCCTCTTATAATCAAACGGAAAGTGAAGCAAATGTACAGAATATTGGAAATGCTGAATTTCTTACGTCTACTGTTCAGCTCAGTGAGGAACACCAACCTCAGCAGGGCAGTCGATGTTTACTTTCATTCAGTGTTTAGTTGTTTTTTTCAAGTTTTAGTTTCACGTTTTCCTCGACAATAAATGACTATTTCACATTTTTCAACAGCTTCAGATTTTTTTATATTTTTCTTCTACCACTGCAGGCAGCCATTAGTTTTCATTGATTCCTGTGCATTATGAAAATCATAATACAAGTTGCTCACAGTGAGCATGAAGCTTGTGTTAAGTTTGCCAGTGTTACACTGGTGTAGTGTGGTAGCACAATCTAAATGCAGATTGATTTGAAACATCAAACACGTGAAGTTATTTTGACAAGAATGAATGTAGACGTTATTGTTCACTGTGATGAATTACAATTTGTTTTTATGGCTAGGACAGTCTACAAAGTAAATCCAAAAGAGATTTTTAGTAACTACAATAAAACATTTTACTTTAAATTCATCCATCTGCATGTTATAAAAAAAACACACTGCAAAGAAAGGTCCTGGTTTGAAGTAACATCTTATCGCTTATTTTCAGCCGAATTTGGATGAAAGCATGAGTTGTTTTCAATAAAACACTTCAGTCTGAGAGAAGAACAGTACACAATAAGCATGGGGGGAAAAAACAAAGAACCCCTGGCTGTCTTGTTGCCGACTTTCTCCCTGTTGTCTCCATCAGTCTGGCTACACAAGTGTAAACTGAACAAGGGAGGGAAATCAAAACCAGCCAGCAGATAAAAGCTGGCACATTCTGAAAACTTTTTTACTCTAACACGCATTTTGACAAACAAAAATCAATCAACAATGTGTTATTCTATCCTGAAGAGCTGGCAAAACAAATAGAGAAAGAGTTCATCTGCAGCAGCTGACAGAGGAAAAGCAGCTCTGAAGTAATTTTATCAGTGGTTGAACTTGTCTTGTAGTGATCGGTTGGTTTTGGTGAACTTACCCATATTGGCTGGTCGGTGTGAGCAAACGTTCATCAGGACAGCTTTCAGGTTGGCAAAGATGTGTTCTTTGGGCATGTCGAGCTGTGCAGAGAGAGGAGAGAAAGCATTATGAAATCAATTTTGCAAATTATGAATGATTAAAAGAATTCTGAAATGTGTATTTGTCTCACGTCTAATCTGCTGCTTGTGAGGTTGTATTTTAAACGTGGGAATTCAACTATAGTATATGCTCAGTGTTCATCTGGTAATAGTCATGGGAGCTTGATCGGGAGCTTGATCGGCAGCTACAAACAACAAAAATGAACAGGGCCGTCTTCCTTTTCAAGAAGGTGAATGATTTTGTGCTTTCTGCATATCAACGTCATACAGATGGTGCAAACCATGTTAAAACTATGACCAGAAAAAGACTGAACACATCACCAGCTGAGTGTTGCCATTTGCAATCACTTTACGATCTTTGGCCATTCAAAATGGAGCCTGGTAAAAGCTCAAACAAGGAAGCAGACACAAACGGACCTTCCCTGGACACTGAAAGTTTCCTCCTAGTTGGTGTTGTTGACAGAAATCTACACCAGCATATATCTTTACTATACAGCAATAACACTTTCTTGAGACGTACCATGGCTATCTGGGTCCTGACGAAGCAGTCGTTCTCCACCTGGTACTCGTGACTTGCTTTAAAGAACTCCAACAACTCGGGAATGTTGATGCTGACTGAGCCTGAGTGTCAACAGAGAGAGACAGAGAAATTAGTTGATCAGAATTGATGTCGTCATGACTATATGTGCACTTTAGACATTAGTTGTCTGTGTTATCTTGAAAGGCTTCAAGTGCTACTGCAGTAAAACCATGAGCTGCTAAATGAGCAATAGTGAGAGTGACAAATATCAATGAAGCTACAGCAACACTATGGTACAATAGAAAAAACATAACAGGTCCTTGTTATCACAGACTGATATAAAAACAGCTTTTACTTTTGTGAATAAAAGCAGGTTTCAAAGAAGTCACATTTTTTGTGCTTGTAAAAGGTCTGAAAAGTTACAAAACAAAGTCTACGCCAAAGAGAATTACTGTCTCCCACAGAAAACACTGCTCCTGCACTACCTGAAACCACTCTTTTGTATTCAGCCTTTTCTTCCGTTTCTTTGTGACATCATACAACTCACCTCTCTTGCTCTTTGGAAATTTCTTCCTCAGTTTGTTTTTCAAAGGTACGAGCTTCGGCAGAATATCTGGCACTGCTACATAGAAGTCTGCTGAAATCTCGTCATCTAAGATCTGGAAGTGAATCAAATTTAGATTAGTTTTAAGTTTAAACACTCCTGCAGTGACAGTTTTGATAGAAATACAGACAGACCTGCATGCAAAGAAAAGAGCAAATGTTTACTGACAGATTTACAGGTTAATACAAGTGATAAATTAATTTGTCCTTCCTGTTTGATTTCAGATGAACAGCCAGTAAGCAAATGAACAGGGCATCTTTTTTAGATGCCAACACTCCATCACTTATGACAATGGAGATTGTCAGACCCAATACAAACTAATGTGTGTAGCTGCCTTTGTAAATGTGATTTACAGTAGATATTGCACGGAATGCAGGTGTACAATTAGCTCAAAGACAACACTGACTGGAAATGTACTTAATGAAACAAACTACAGCTTTGCCAAATTAGTTTATTGCAGTTATGTTTCTATTATTTTGTCCGCCAGCTGTACAACACATAGCCATCCTAGTCTATTTCTAGGATTTGACATTTCCAGGAAGATAAAAGAAAAAAGCTAAGTGTTCTCATACTACATAGTATACAACAAAATCCCATCATCCAAAAGTAACAGACACAAAAACACTTTATTCTTGTTGATTCTGGCGACCCCTGTGGGCAAAAGTGGGAGTGTTTCTACCACCTTGACTCCTACCCGGTGGCAGGCATTAAAGAATAACTCTAGAAATAGTAAATCATCTTGCTGATGTTCTTTTGTTTAAGTAGGTCATATAAAGGCGTCAGTATTAAACTGACACTGTTTCATAACCCATTTAAAATTCTTTGTAGTAGGTTGAAATCTGCAGAAAAGGTGATATGAGCACATATATAAACATTCAATTATTATTATTAATATTTTGATTTGAACTTTTTATTGCTTTTAAAGCTTTTTAAAATACTTTTAACCTGTACAGTCTTTTTCTTCCCCATAGTTTGTATCTATATGATGTGTTCATGTGGTAATGTTTTGCTGTTGTGCAAAGTGCTAATGCTAATCTGTCTGAAACAAACGCAGGGAGGAAAATAGAACAAGCAACTTTTCCTTCTGCCTCAAAAACTAACAGCATGATGCCTTACACTGCGTCTATATCGACCATGTAGCAAAAGCGGCACACCAGCAGAACAGCTGCAGCAGCTGGAATCCTGTGTCAGTGTCAAAAATGGTTTCAGCCACAGTCTGGTGTAGACAAGGTTAGATGAATGCATTACAGCCTTAAATGCCCTTGTCAGTGTGGTAGTTTCACTGCACAGCTCAGAGGTTTGAGTGTGTTTAACTGTGCGATTTGAACCAAACATCAACTCTCTGCATCCGTGCAATGAACAGTGCTCCAGTCTTATGCACTGCATCAGACAAAACTTAAATGCCTTATTAAGTTCGTTTTTAAACTTTGCTCGGACTTGCTGATGTGGAAATTTTGTAACAAGCCAATACATAACAATCATACTGTTACAAAAAAATCCAGAGAAAGATGAGTTTTCCCTTGAGGAAAAAAAATAAACTTGATCTGAACTTACAGTGCGTGATATTTAACCAACTCACCGGCTGTATGAGCTCTGCTCCTCCAGCTAATACAGCTCCGTTCTCCAGTGCAGCTTTAGCTTGGTTAGCATCCTGCAATGAGAAACAGAGGCAACACTACACATTTCAATCTGATCTGGGTGTGTCAACGTGTGGCAGACCCCACCAGTGTCATCCATTATGGTCGTTAACATACAAATCTAAGTTACAACCTACAACCTGTGCTGCTCGACAGGAATATTAATCAAATCCAGCTCATCGGTTTCTGTGCCCAAAACAGTCGCTACATGAGCCCATTTATTACAGACAAACTGGGTGACAAAAGGTGCTGCTGCTGCTGCACATCTGAATCATGTACAGACAATATTAAAGCAATTCATCAACAGCAGGCAATCAAGTGGCTATGAAATTAAGATTTAGTGAGCCTGAATAAAATGCCTGAAAAATAAAAAATAAACTTTTTACCTCAGTAAAAACTAAAACTTTGTTTATCTCGGTCTTGAAGGGGTGTGGTAAATGCACTGTGCTGACAAAGGGGTCCACTTTTCTCTGTGAGGAGAAAAAAAAAAGATCCAATTAATACAGATTACACTTGGCATGCTCCAGCAAATAAAGGACTATGGAGAAAACATGAGAAAAAGAAGGGATGTCAATCATAGACCAAGCATAGATAATTGAGTATTAAATCTTTTCCGCCACCACTTGAATTTTTCATTTCTCTGGAGTGTTCTTTATTCATTATGCATAAGAACATTTGTTCTGCATAGTTCTGTGAAGACAGACAGATGAGAGTAAGACTGTAAGCAGTAAGTAAGTCTCATGTGGACTTTCTGGACATCAAAGCAGCTCTGCAGTCCTGTGATGTGGAAACAAACTCATGAGGTTTTTAATCCTCTGTGTCACACTGTTTTTGCTGATTAACCAAACACTGATGCAATAAATATCACTCAGCTTGGTGGAAGTGAGGTGTAACAGTAACAGTCAGAGCGGGAAAGTACCAAAAAAAGCCATATCTGAATGCTAAAATTAGTCTCTGACAGACACTTTGGCAGGTGATCAGCCATTGTCGGGATGTCCTGTTCTATTCTGAGGATCCAGCTAGATCGTTTTTAAAAAGCAGCTGGTGATTTTTGGGACTAACATCATTAAATATATTATTTAATATATTTAACTTTCCAGTCTTCCCCCCAGATTCATGGACACGCTTAAAGACATAACCCGTGGTCTGACAATTTAGATTTGCGAATGTTAGAATTACAGCCTGACCTGACAGGTGTTTCCATTATTTTGTCCACTCCAACATAAACACTTTACTGTACAATGCAATACAGTTCAACAGCACCACAAACAATATCCATAACGACTATGTCATGCTTAAGTTACAATCTGCACTTAAACAGGCAAATGTTTCTAAATTGCATTCTACTAAGAAGAAAATGTGACCACCTACAGGTGAGAGGATGCTTAACGGAGGATTTAATGTGAGAATATTAGCAGTGAAAAGGCTATTGGAAGGTTTTACTCTGCAGTCTATTATACCATCTAAAGCGCTCTGAGAACTGTCCCGAAAAATACTATGTGATGGATTACAGGGTCACAATTGTGTTCCCAATACATGTGAAGATTCAAATCTGTGAGATGAAGCATGAATTGTGTTACACTCTTTAAACAGGAGGGGGCACCATCTATTTTAAACTGTGCTTGTTCAACGTCCCATGTCTGTCGCAGCTGAATAAGGGCACAAAGACATGGCGGCTGCAGGTGAAGACTTTGAAATTAAGGATACCGCATCCTGTTTTATATTGGAGATGTGGCAGCTTTCTGGCTTCTGAAATATGCATTGTTTTGCAGTTTACACTCTACCTGAAAAACCAAAAAAATGTTAGTATTATCTGTTGCGCCTTTATCTGTTTCACCGTGGGTGAATGAGAAACGTCCTCTCGATTCCTTGTATGTCTGGTGCATGTGAAGAATATCTAACTGCTGCCTTGGCGCTCTTCACTCCTGTTGTCACGCTGGGCTGAACTGAGAAAACGCTCCTCCTCGAATCTCCCTTGTACTGCTCCCCTGCGGCGGCGATGTGAAGAATTGACATTAAAGAAATCTTTTTCAGTCATAAGTTGTTTTCAATCTGTGAAAATATATTGTGATAAAATCTTTTTGTGAACTCAGTACTGTAAGTTGTAACAATCGTAACCAACCTACAACATGATCTACAACACATCATCTACAACAACACTTCAAATCTCTCTATCTAAATATGCAGAGAACATGAGTGCAGTGTTGTTGCCATTACCTTTTTCTCCAGTTCCATGTTTAGCCTCAGATCGATGTAAACAGGCTGCTTGCGGGGAGTGAAGTCCAACACTTGAAAGTTCTTCAGCATGTCGATGGCTTCTGCTGCGTCATAGATCGTCATGGGGTAGTACGTCCTAACGTACACGTCATCCACAGGCATCCATGCTGTCTTGCCAAAAGGCTTATGTCTGTCTTTGTCATCAATTACCCTCTTTTCTTTCTTCTCCTCTTTCTTCTGCGTGTCATCTTTCTTGCCTTTCTTTAATGACCTGACAAACAATAGGGGGAGATGTTAAACTGAGAAATATTTGGGTTATAAACCCTACCTCTATCTTTACTTTATTTTATGGTTCATATGGAAAGCTTTTTTTAAATTTTGAGTGACCAATAAACTGGTCCGGACGGCTCCATCAGCTGAATGTGCGAAACTGTTGGAGGGTGAAGCAGAATGATGTTAAAAAAAAAGCTCCAAAGACAGAAAATTCTCTCTAGATGAAGATCTTTAGAGCTGCTTTTAGTGAACACATGATTTATAAACTCACTTTAGAGTGGCAACAGTCTTGGAAGATAGATGCCTTGTAGGAATTTGTGAGGCGCTTGTGTATGCACCGGCTCTCAGCAGGTGCCTCTGACATCCTCCTAAAACTGGAAAAGAGAAAAAAGCTGTATGAGAAATTGAAACAAACAAACACAGGGTACAGATGATGACCTCCATTAAACACAGATAGATGCTGTTTGAGAGGCTTTCTGTGAAACTATGAAACGCACTCTTTATGTATTTAAGCATTATAACACCTGACATGATTTTATTTCCAATGTAAAATATGCAACAAGGCTGCAATCTTTGACTAGTTAATATATAACTTTTAGGTTTACCACCAAAAGATCACACACTCTGTGGGATAATCTAAATCTTTGAGTTAATTATAAGCAATACATCTCGGGATGCCTGCAGGGATGTGTGCAGCAAAGTTGTCTGATGTTAATGTGGTTGTACGTCTATGTCTGTTTCACCTTCAGGGACTGTGTGCAGAATGCAAAGCAGATTGATTACAACAGTACGGATCTTCTCGACAGAGAGCAATTCAGATTCTACAGCCCCTCACATCGGCCGTATTTGGTTTATTCAATGTTTTTTTCCGACACTGCGTTCAAAAACCTGACAGTTTTATACAACTTTTCTTATAAACGAAGACACATATTCAAAATAAGATTATCCAAACCCTTAACTGAATCATGAATACGAACTCTTCAATTCGTCATACACATGATCCACCAAGCGACAACCTAATTGAACCAAATACCTACTTATTATAACTCGTTAACTCTCATCACCGCCCACCACGACGCGTTTAGGTTCAAGTACACACTGATGCACCAACAAAACTCTTCATCTTATTTAGCTAAAAGCTTCCTTATAATCAATGCCGCATTCAACAGAGAATCACAATAACGCACATATAAATTGAGTCTTGTCGCCTCCCGTATCAAACTCTTCAACACTCAAGAGGACAGTGAACAGATGTTGTGCTGTCTGTGGGGCTAAGGTTAGCGCACCGGCTGTAATGGCTGTTTCACCTTCAGCCGCAACGAGACACCACAAAGGAAGTCTGGAGAATGAGCATCAACCTATTTCAGCAAGTACATCACCTGAAGTCCAGATGTGTGAAAGTAAATAACCCAAAACAACTGACCTTTCCACACCGTCCGCGTGCAAGTTGCCATGTCTGGGAATGCCGATGATCCGTGTGAAAACAACGATACGTACTAAACAGTTCCGCCTGGGAAGGAAAAACCATGTCTCCAGTCAAACACTGTCAATATATAATTACATTACCTGTTGGTAAATACTCAATACCTATACAAATACTAAGTAAGTATCTATTATTAGTTGGCTCCAATGTCATATTCGGCATGCGTTTGGTAAACAAATCTGTACGTATTTTAGTAAATGTTTGACTTATATGAACATTTAGTCATTTCCAGAATCTGGACAAAATGTAACAAAACTAAAATTTGTCCCCCAAAAAATATTCTTGATGAATTAACTGCATGCCGAATTTTCCAGCGGCTTCTAGATATACTTTAAAACAATAAGTGTGCCTTTGCAATCTATGTATCTTATTATATACATTATATTAAACTGAATTCTAATAAAGTTTGGTGACACTTTAACATAGAAAGTGACTTATTCAAAGTGCGGGCAGTACACTACGGCTTTCTAATAGCATCTTGTGTTTTACTGTATACTAAATATTAAAAATGATCTTTCGGTGATTGACTTTGCCATGATGAGTGTAAGGGGAGAAAAGACCCGGCGGTGCTGCTGTGAGCGGACGGGTACGAGCGGAAGCCGCGTTTGTTGTTCTTCCTTCTGTTTCCGAGACGTTCAGGGTCTGAACGGGTTCAACAGCCGTGTCTGCATGTCTCCAACAATTCACTCTATAAATCGACTGCTACCGCCCCCGAATGAAGGTAATGTCAATTCTGACTTTGTTCTCATGCTGCGGACGCTTTGTCCAGGTTGACCCGGGTTAAATTTCCCAGTTTAATCGGTTTCCATTTTGTACCAACTCCGTATCCCCCCGCAGTCCGCCTCGGTTAGCCCCGGACGGCGTGCGCCCTGCAACCGCTAGCCAAACAAATCCAGCGCCGTGCTTTAAGCTCGCCGGGTGGTCAACTTGTTCATACCCTGTTTCTACAAATATTTAAAGGCTTCAAAACATTTTGAGATGCAGAAATTGGCGTATCCAGAGGTCGTGTTTACCTCGTTGTCAGGTGTGACAGCTGGTGAGCGGTGGGCCGAACTTCTCCTGAACGGGCCCGTCCGTGTGTCGTTACGTGCTTGTCACTTTTGACATTAGAGCTATGTTTGGACAGCCGCCTCTCAGCTGTTGGCGCAGTTGCCATCGCTACATTTTTTCCATGAACAAAAACTCCTGCCTTGTTCAAATGTCTCCACTTGCCAAAGCAACAGATTTAGGGTTTACAATAATATTTAGTTTATCTGTAACAGCCCCCCCGCCCCCCTGAGTCTTAAATGTTGATATGATCTCAAGCATGTGATGAAAGTTGCCCTTGCAACTTCAGTTCGTGCCCCTCTCCATATGGTTGAGATATGAACCAGTGCCAGCGGGCCGTGTATCAGTCCGCAGCCGCTGTTGCAGCTTACTTGTGACCCAGTCGTGTGTAAACAGGTTATGTAAGTCTTCTCCAAACTTGTTCACCCCCAGCCAACCTCATGGCCGCTGGGTGCATAATATAATGCCATCAGCTCCCGTTTTTTCTCTGCTTTGCACGTCCATGTGTTTATATCCACGGTGTTCAGGAGATAATAACAAACTCATGAAATATTACACGTTTATTACACGAGTCCCTGAGCCATGCATGGGCAGCAGGAGGACTGCAGGGGGGTTTAAATAGCCTAACCTGCAAGCTGGGTGGTTTCTTAAACCTCCTCCTGCTGCTTCTAAAGGACACGACTGCATGTTTGCTAGTAGAGCAGCTGTGGTATCCAACACATGAGGACTTCTTATGTCTTTGACTGAGTAACTTGTTGTTGTTGGGGTTTTTCTGCATGTAAATACTGCTTTCAAGCAACGTTGTGTGCGAAAAAGCTCGTAAAGTTGACAGGATAACCAAGCAGATAGAGGTATTTGTTTTCCATTTTATTCAGCGAGAACATTCAGCCCAGGACAGAGTCACTTCACTGTAATGTAACTTTTAAGCCTTGTACTTTATTGCATCAATCACACTCTGTGCTGGTATGTTGTCTCATATCATGACGTCGTTACTGTACAAATATCTCATCTTTGGAGCACATTCTTGTTTAAATACACCTGTTTTAGGAACACACATTCTGGTTACATTTTGTGACACAAGGTGTGTTAATAACAATGATGTATGTAATATTATAATGTCACAAACATTCTGACAGGCAGCATAATATGTGTTTTTGTTTTATGTACAAGGCCACATATAGGATTGCGTCTGATTCGTCAAATGTAGATTCAAGCTCCAATGACCTGCTCCAATTTAGTTTAAGTCTAGGCCAAAGTAAAAGCAAATTAAGATCCATTGTGCATGTGTTGGTTAGTCTGATTTATTTCTGTACTCTGACAGTCAAAGGTCAATAACTGTGACATACAGACGGGCGTTCTTAAACAGTTGTTTTCTGGTTGAGCTGCGTGATATTGTTTAAATCATCACAAAATGAGTCTTCAGTAAACATCGCCAGAGCCCAAACCCTTTAGACAGCACACTGTTATACACCATTATGTTACTGTAGTTTGTAGTTCCAGTATCATGCTGCTTTCATTGCATTGAACTTCTGTCTGTCTGCTTGAAACTATTAGTTTAGCCAACAGAGTTTTGTAAAACTATAACATCATTAGATAGTCACCATCACGGTGTAATTCCACTTCCAGTCCTAGATAACATTGGCAACATATAAAGATAACCTTATTTTCTGGCAGTCAAATCAACCAAACATTAGTAAAATTACCAATGTCTGAAACTTCTGTATAACCAAGAGAAAACAAAGTCGACTAAAGTCCAGATTCAGACTAGATTAGACATGTAGCACTGCGATTACAGACAAGGTTTCGTTTTTCACTACACATTTCTGCAGGAGATGCTTTATTTAAAGGGACCTTTTATTTCAAAATATTTCTTTCATGAAGTAGTTTATGGGTGCGATCCGTAGGGCTGGAATAATGCCCAAATGTTGGCTGTTTTTTGTCACTCTTATTTGAGACGCTGGTCAGTGAGCCGTTGTTGGACTGGAGGTTCGTAATCTGCACTGAAAATGTTGGCATCATTTGATTCAATTAGAGTTATTCCGATACCGATACCAGTATCGGAATACTGGTACTGATACTGCCTAAAATGTGGTATTGGGTGTCGGTGAGTATGTGTGTCTGTGCACCGATCCGATACCATTTATTGGCCCACAGATATTACTATTAAAATCATCTGTGCTCTGTTTTCTTAAAGCTAGTGAACAAGAATTGTAGACCAGGGCATCTCTGCAGAACTAGAGTGGTTCTGTTTCCAGTTGATCCAACATGTGGAGTTGCTGCTTTTCTCTGTTTTATATTGGTCCATGCCAGATAATGTGTTTCTTGTTGGATTTGAACTCAAATCTGCGTGCTCTTGTGTTGTTTTTCAGATTAACAGGTATGCCAAAGGAAAAATATGATCCTCCAGATCCCCGTAGATGTTACACCATCATGTCAGCCGAGGAGGCGGCCAATGGGAAGAAGTCTTACTGGGCCGAGCTCGAGATATCTGGTCAGTCTAAGTCGCCCCCTCTGGTTCTGCTTCCATGAAAACATCCCAACTGAGGCTTTGAAGCTCAGGTGTAAATATGTACCTAAAGAGATAGAAGAGAAGTAGAAGAGCCCTGGTCCCAGGACTGACATTTTTTTATTGCAGTATTATAGAAAATTCAGAAAAAGGTAGCCGAACAAGATGCAAATATTAAAATTGACAAAATATTGTTAAGTTGGCATCCAGAGTCCAGTTTCCCCAGTGTTTGTAGATTAAACATTTAACAATGTATAAAAGTCTATCTTTTAATCTTAGTGAGAAGCTTCTTGACATTTTTAACTCACTCACATTGTATTTAGTGTCTTTAATGTTTCTCATTGTTTGTATTAGCGGCCAGTAGTTTCTGAAAGTGGATAAGTGGAAATAAACAGAAAATGAATCGGTGCTAATTTTGATAGTTCATTTATCATTTAAGTGATTTTATAAGCAATATACGTTGGGTTTTGGGAAGTAAAGATTTTTTAGACAAAATTATTAATTGATTAATCCAGGAAACATTCAACAGATGCATCAATAATGAAAATTATCGGAAGTTGCTGCCCCAGTGAAAAGATGGTTAAAGGACCCTGAGTCAAATTAGTGGAAATCTGTAAACCACATAATTTAATTGTTTTGACCCCAAAACCTCAAGTAAATCTGAAAAAAAAAAACAATATTAATGGTCAACAAACGTTGATATAAAACATGCAACTAGCTGTTCCTTAGGTTTTTGTTGTATTTTACGTGACCTTTTATATGTACACATTAGATAGATTAGATCTGTGTCACATGATGGTCTAAATGCTGTTTTCTGGTTTCAACTCTGAAAAGAATTCTATTCTGGCTGAAAAACTGAATGTAGTTCTTGTCCAGGCATGAGAATGAAAACGGGTTAGAAAGAAAAATATTGATATCAGTTTTCAAGAGAAGCCTTGCTGAGTCTTGAAGAGCCACAGTCTGTTTGGCTCCTTGTTTCGACTGATCACAAAGCTCAGATAGAAAATCTGTGTTTTAATATTGAGATTTGAAAGTGATGTCCTCTTAAAGACAATCCGTTGTACTCATGTTTGTTCTGACGCAGGACGGGTGAGGAGTCTGAGCACCTCGTTATGGACGCTCACCCACCTGACGGCACTGCACATCAACGACAACAACCTGACCCGCATCCCGCCAGACATCGCCAAACTGCCCAACCTGGTCTATCTGAACCTATCGTCCAATAAGCTCCGCAGCCTGCCCGCCGAACTGGGCAACATGGTCTCTCTCAGGTAGGCTGTCAGCGGGGCTGGTCCTGTTTAGGGATTTTAGGGACATGACTGACATGAGTGCCAAGTGTAGAGAAAACATGAGAGGACTGAATTCACTAGAACACCGAGCTTCATCACAGTAACAGCCTGCATTAAAATCCACAGTGTCCAATCATCATATAGTGTCAGTGAGTGTCACAGAGCTTTAGAGATTGGTTGAATATTCTGCAATTTTACATTGCAATATGGATTTATGTTATTAAATAAAACATTTCTGAAAATGTAATTGAGAAATTATCTTAAAATCAGAGTGCTTCATCACATTGATGCAGAAATTGTGTAAATCCAAAATTATCATAAAGCAGATTTACTCATTGATTTGTAACACACAATTAGCGGAGATGGGACACTGTTTGTGAGTAATTGAGCCTCCTGCTCATAGTGATCAATAAGAGCTCCTTCTTAATTTGCTTCAGATTTAAGTGATGGAGGACAAAATCCACAGTTCTTGTTCTGTGTAAAAATTTAATGAAATGTTTATCTAGAGCTAAAATGAGGTAAATAAAGTGGGTATCTTCCAAAGTCACAGTCTTTTTAATACAAAATTTCCTCTTGTGTTTTTATCTCTCAGCATGGAAACGCTTGGCTTCAGATAAACTTAAATACATTTTGGCACTGAATGAGGATATTGGATTTTGTCCCCCATCACTTACACTGGAAGCACATTAGCAATGGCTCTATTAATTGAACGAGGAGGAAAGAAGAGAGAAGAAGAAATAATCATTGTTTTAATCCTTTAAGTATGTCACTGCCTTTTCTGTATGATGTGACGATTACATCAAGAAACCCTGTTCTGTCGTTACTCTGTTACTTTAGTTTTGCACAGTGCAAATATGAACAGTTCTTGAAAATTAATGTAATACTGAGTGTAGAGTTTGGACCAGATATGAATTTCAGATGTAATGTGTGTACAGTCAAATGTAATAAATAATAACTCAATGAATGAGAGTCACTGTCTCAGCTTCGTAAGTCTACCATGTTTTGGATCATTTTTCTTTTTTTGAAACTGGAAGCAAACAAACGCTGCTTTTATATTTGCTGACATTTGTCTCCTTGTTTGAAATTCAAACGACTTAATTTCTGCACTTCTTCCTGCTACATCAGTGCATATTTTGTTTTGAAAAAGAAATGATTCTTCGGATTCATTCAAGGGATTACGTGCCAAACAAGTACAGAAGAAAAGTGGTCAGAACATGATGATTAAAAACACAGTGATCAAACACTCTGAAGAAGGAGGAGGTATATGAAATGTGTGGGTGAGAGTAGTTATCTCACGGGGCTCAGAAAAGCATCACACCTTAAAACTGACAAACAAACAAAAACAAAGATGACAAGCAAAGACACATTTTGACTGGAAGACTGAATTAAATTGACAACAAAGGACCACGTGGTAGGCGATGTTTTGACACAAGTAAAAATAGATCAATGACAAGGAATTACCACATTGTTCGAGAAAGTTTGTGAAAATCAGAAAAGACTGAGACACAAAATTCTCATATTTTTGTACCATTTCTTGCAGGGAATTGCTTTTAAACAACAATCTTTTACGAGTTCTGCCTTATGAACTTGGGAGGCTTTTCCAGTTACAAACTCTGGGGCTAAAAGGTGGGTCTTTCTTTTATTATTACCATTATTTTGGACCAAGAACTCAATTACATATTTTACATTAAGTTCTGTTTTAGATTACCACTATTCACCATGAATTCTCACTGCAACCAATCATTATTTGACAACAGTTTCCTAAAATCTCATAGAGAATTAAGACAGAAGTGTGAGTTTCCTGCATTTTTATAGATAGTGTATTTTTGTTGATTTGCAGGAAACCCTTTGTCCCAAGACATCCTCAATCTGTACCAGGAGCCTGACGGAACCCGAAAGCTTTTGAACTACATGCTCGACAATCTAGCAGGTAAACGGCTCGGTGGCTTCACCTTACCACACCAGCATTTATTGGAACTCATGCATTTTTAACTGGCAGCAACGCAGGTATATCATAGCAGGTATACCATTGTGTTTGTCACAGACAAGTGAGCGCTTATCCCTAATTTCTCCCTGCCCTGCCCTGTTTCCAGTGCACCCAGAGCAGCTCCCACAAAGACCTTGGATCACTCTCAAAGAGCGAGATCAGATGATTCCCACAGGTACGCTCAGCAGGGTTAATGTTATAGCATGTTACGCTTTCCACTTCCTGTTGGAGTAGAGATAATTCATTATACTGTCTGTCTTTTTGCATGTCTAGGTGAAACATAATATTCTTTGTTATTTAAAGCAGCATTAGGCTAGATTTATTTTGTTGTTGTAAAACGTCACTTCTTCTATCAGCTTAAATCACCAGTGGTGGCATCGCATTCCTGAAACAATTACACTTACAGGCCTATTGGAAGGGTGATGTAAGAGGGTGTAGAGTTTTATTTAGTTGCCAAGTAGGATGTAACTCACTCACAACCTAATGCTTTATTTATAAAACACATTTAAACAACACAAGCTGCCCAAAAAGCTGTTTGCAAGTCCAATATATAAAAATGGCTCTTGTGTGTTTTTCAGCGGTGGCAGCCGTCCTACTTTAGTTTCAGCCAGAAATTAGAAATATTTTTATAATAATAAATGTTTGTCTTGCTACAGTTCCAGTGTCAGATACATAGGGCCGCAAACACCAGAAGAATGCAATCAAAACTAAATGGATCTCAGCAGTAATCATTTAGTACTTTTCACCCTCTCTCCGAACTCTGTGATTTAGTAAACGTCTCTTCTCCTCTCTAGCTGTGTTCACGGTCATGTGCTACAACGTGCTCTGTGACAAGTACGCCACGCGACAGTTGTACGGCTACTGTCCATCCTGGGCCCTCAACTGGGAGTACCGGAAGAAAGGCATCATGGAGGAAATCACCAACTGTGACGCTGACATCATCAGCCTGCAGGTAAATGAGGGGCAGACACTGCCTTTACGCTTCCCTTGTTGCATTTTCGACTGTAAGCTGACTTTGTTTTCCAGGGAAAAAGAAACACATCAGACAGTAACCAGAGCAGGAATTTTGTGGACACGTCAGTGGACACGGATATAGTAAACTATATCCGTTAAGTGACAGTACAGTCATGCTAGTTGTTATGTGAAGCTGTGAATTGGTACAATGGTGCTTTGAACAAAATGCTAACGTGCTCAGGTATTATGCAGGCGTAATGTTAACCAAATCCGCTATCTTAGCATGCTAACATTAGTTAATTAGCACTAAACACAAAGTACAGCTGAGGCCGATGGGAGTGTCTTTAGTTTGAAAGGTATTTTATCATAAGCTAAAGTATTGGTCAAATTGAAATTTTGACCAGGTGATGGCGCCAGAGGAAACGTCAGGGGATAATCCAACTCATCAGGATTAATTTGGATATCTGCTCCTAATTTGTACCAATCTAATTTTGGAGGTGTTGAGATATTTTACAGGATATGTAAAAACTTTGTCCTGCTAGTGATACTACAGGAAAATTTAGGATCACTAAGGTAATGAATATTTATCCTCTGGTGTTTACAAATGTCTGGATACATTTTTCTGGCAATCCATCCAATAGTTGTTCAAATATTTCAGTTTGTGCCAAAGTGGTGGGTGGACAGACCGGCCAACATTGCTATGCCTACAGCCGTGACGCTAGCATGGCTAAAAATAAATTTCCCCCTGGACCACAGAAGCCATACCTGCTTACTAACTTCTTTTTGCATTGTGGTTGTGATTGTAGCAATTTACAGTCTTGCTTCAGCTCACTTGTGACCTTTTATTGCAAAGAAGGTCTCCAGCTACCATCTGCCCATCCACTGACTTCTTATGACAGCAAGGAAGAGTCACTCAGAACAATGTCAGCTTTAATAGACCATGAAACTGATTTATTGAGTCATTCAATGTCGTCAGTGCTGTAACTATCAGACTGTCCTCTGTGCAGACCTGCACAGCTGCTATCAACTCCTCGGATCAGTCCACAGTAAACATTCCCCTTCAACACAACCAAGTCACTGTCTAGTAGATAAAGAGGTAGACATTTGTCATCACTGTAGCCAGTTTAGATTCCTGTCCACATAAAAGGAAACTATGTTGCTTCTTTAAGTCTGGAAAGTCGCTTATTTCTCATTTCAAATCAATTCACCATCTCTTTATTTTGTCTTACTATCTACCTGGACGTTTCCAGAACTTCCACTAGTCAAAGAAATCTGGGAATATTTCTGAATTTTCCGAGGTTGGGAAGTCTATAAAGTATATAAATTAAAATGTATATTAATAAGTATTGTAAATAAATACATTTAAAAATAAGATAGTGGGGATTGTCGTGATGGTATTTATTTATTCAGCAAAATAGAGAATCACCTGAAAGGCTGACGATCACTCTTCATTCTGGTGTTTCAGTTACTAACTTCACACGTACATTTCATTGTCTATTTAAGATGACATTTCTTGCCCTGTGTGTCTGCAGGAGGTGGAGACAGAGCAGTACTACACTTTGTTTCTGGAAACACTAAAGGAGCGCGGCTATGACGGCTACTTCTGTCCAAAGTCTCGTGCCAAACTGGTTTCTGAACAGGAGAGGAAACACGTGGATGGCTGCGCTGTGTTCTTCAAGACCGAGAAGTGAGTTTAAGAGCTTTACTGTTTGTACATTACAGAACTACTAAAGAAGGGACATTTTTACATTCGTAATTTAAACACACGTTTTCAAACTCCTCTGGATATTTATGCTGCTTTGTGGATGTTTCTGCAGGTTTACTTTGGTCCAGAAACACACTGTGGAGTTCAACCAGGTGGCAATGGCCAACTCTGAGGGCTCAGAGGTCATGCTGAACAGAGTGATGACCAAAGACAACATCGGGGTGGCTGTTTTGCTTGAGGTCAACAAGGACATGTTCTCCAGTGGTAAGAACCAAAAGAGTCGCTCTGTGAACCCTCTTTGGAACATAACACAAAACAGATGATGTAATGTTACTATCCCTTGTGTTGTTGTGCTGTAATTCAAGGCGACACTTTGAAGCCTCCAGGTATTCCAGCTTCCCAGAAACAAGCCAGTCCATCAATGTGCTCCAATGTTGTAAAAAAAAACAAAAAAACAATGTAATTGTTTTCACTTAATTTTTGCTTCCCAGAGCTCAAAGTGATGTCTTTCATTGCTTGTTTTGTCTATTTGTCTTTGTATATTCAATTTACAACGATATAACACATATAAAAAAGCAGCAAATCCTCACATTTAAGGAGCTTATAAACAATGTAACAATTAATCGATTATCAAAATCTGATTAACAATTAATCAACTACTAGTCCCAGCACAGGCATATTTTCAATCTGGGTAATATTACATGTGAATAGACCCCCATACCTTTGTAACTTTAGCAGTTAACCAGACCAAACATAATGTTATTATTAATGTATAATATATACATGGGGCCATGGTTGCACTGTAGCAAAATAGTGTAGCCACAAATAAATCAATAACATTGCAGTCAACTTGTAAGCAGCAATCCAAAATGCTGTGTTTTTCCAAATATATAAAAGTGACACAGGAATAATCTGTAGTAAGATATTTTTCCACAAGGTGTCACTAGTGACTTTCAACAACATCAAATTAATTTAGTTGATTTCTAATTAAAGGAGTGATATCTCTCTTCTCTCTGTAATCGCTCTATAAATCTCTCTATCTCTCTATAAATCTCTCTATAAAAGCAAGAAATCTCTGTCTGTCTGTGTGGTTGTTGTCGTGTGTGTGGCTTCAAAGTATCTCTGCAGATCAGGATCAGACTGACCTGAGAGTTTAACAGGGCTGCTGTGTGGTTTAAGGGTGTGCAAGCGTCGCTTTGTTTGGACTACAAACATACTGTTAATACAATTATTTCATAAATTATTTCGAAATTCCGTTAGCATTACTATAGCCACCATAGCCACGTGCGCACCAGTGAGCCAATCACTGCAGAGCCTAATGTATAGTGATTGAGATCCTGACCCACAAACATCCTGGAAAGTGACGAAGTTACGTTTTCACTCTAATTACATAATTATACATAATCACCAGCAGTAACACTGGGACGCTTCGTGACTCCTCACTCGCAAGACGGAGAATGTTTTCCGGTGGAAAGTAAACTGATTCTCGGTCCGGAGGGCTGCTGTCGGCGGTGATTTTTGATCACAAACACTCCGCGAGTTTTTCGCCGGGATAGACGCTGTTTTTCGGGCAGAAATGTGAAGAAGAGTCGTAGGCAGGCAGGAGGACAGACAGGAGGACAGACGCTTCTCCACATACAGCTGTGGTTTTTTTTCCTCATATAAGTTTCTAAAGACAGTTACTACGTTACTTTTGTTTGGTCCTGTAACGTTGCTTTGTGGGATTCTCTTTATCAAGTTGAGTGAGAGACCTGTGCAGTTATCAGGCTGTCTGACGACACGCCCTCGCCCCGCTCCCTGAAACTACCCTCAGATGAGGATCAGGGACCGGAGCGAATTTCCCCCTCGCCGCATCTGAAAACTTTCACACAGAGGAGGGTGCGGAGAATTGGCGCTGGATCCCCGCATGCAAACGGCAGTGTGAATGGGGCTACTGTCCCTGTTTTTTTACTGCCATTGCTCTCTCTCTCTCTCTCTCTCTCTCTCTCTCTCTCTCTCTCTCTCTCTCTCTCTGTCCTTGCTAAAAGCCAAATTAGTATGAAAACACCAATAGTTATACACATTTCACAACAAACCTAAATGTCCTGAACGTCCCACCTTCAAACACAACCTCATTTGGCCACATGAAAAAGCTACTTAAACCTCCCACTTTTCTATAGCAATACATACTTTCTACGGGCAGTGCACTAGTAGGATGAATGAGTGGTTGGTTAGTGGTTTGTGTTTCATAACCCACTTCTGTTGTGGTTTTGTAGGACAGTTTTGTTCTATATAGTTAGCAGTGACAGCACATGTTGAGCTTAACTTCCCTGTCTGTGTGTAAACCCCTCTCTTCCTTTTTTAATGATTTTATTTTACATTCTGGGCACTTTTTGTGTTTCTGAAGTTGCACCAGACCTCTGTGCTTTTCTGTAACCAAAGTAACCAAAATAAGTCTGTGGTCAGGTTTTATTAGCGATTTGGGAGTTTACGTTTAAGTTGGTTTTTTTTTTGGCCCTATTGTAATCCCCTTTTAGATTTCTTTCATCCCACCTAAACAGCTTGTTTTAAATATTTTATTTCTGTTATCAATGTGTATTTTTACTGGACTGAATTTAATTCAGCTTAAATTTTCACTCCTTAATTGGCCGTATATGTGTGAAATAATCCTGTTTTTTTTATTCTGTTCAGGCATGAAGCCACCCCAGGAGAGGCAGCTGATCCTGGTGGCCAACGCCCACATGCACTGGGACCCCGAGTACTCGGACGTCAAGTTGATCCAAACCATGATGTTCCTCTCGGAGCTGAAGAGCATTGCTGAAAGGGCCTCGGGCTCCGTGGCGACCGGTTCGCCGACCTCCGACCCATCCTCCATCCCTATCGTCCTGTGTGCTGACCTCAACTCGCTGCCTGACTCCGGTAAGAAATAATGTTATTTGCACAGTGTGATTCTCCTAAACTAATACATACATACTTCAATATACTGCATGCAATTATTTCAGTTTCTCTTTCAACAAAAAGATGATGCAGTTGGACACTACATCATAATCAGTGCTATGAAGATAAACAAAAGCATAGATTTTGGGGGGCATTTTTAGGAGTGTATTAAAAAAAAAGAGGGATCTGGGTTAATGTGGTGTACTTTTGCAATACAATATTACCTTTGTATGAACCAGGTGTAGTGGAATACCTGAGCAACGGAGGAGTGGCCGAGAACCACAAGGACTTCAAGGAGCTACGCTACAGTGAATGTCTAACCAACTTCAGCTGCAACGGCAAGAATGGCAACTCAGACGGAAGCGTCACACACAGCTTCCAGCTGAAGAGCGCCTACGACAGCAATCTGATGCCTTACACCAACTACACATATGACTTCAAGGTAAAAACCTCCTGAGTGTTAAAAGTTTTAAAAACCTCTTTTGATTCACTCTAGATCTATTTTTCCTTTGGCTACAGGCTGCCATTGGTCTCCATTTATTTCTTTAAGTTTGCAAATCAACTAGCAGACTATTAAAACTTGCACGACTCAATTGAATTACAGAACTCAAGCAAGTTTCAGAAGTCTGCTAATAGACTTTCAGATTGCTCAAAAATGAACTGAAACCAATAGATGCCTGGAACAATAAACAAATAAAACATCACGGTTTGCAAAATGTTTAGCAATAGTGAAAATAATGTGTTATGTAGTAATTGGTCTAAAGCATGTTAAACCACTGATATGGTTCTTCATACCCATAAAGCTGATTTATGGGTTTGAAATCAAGTTGCGAAGCCCATTGTAACTAAACAAATTAAACTGACCCATTCCCTCCTTATTAATAACTTTGTGCCTTAGGTTTGCATAATGTATGTGTTGGGGGTTAAAACATATATAAAAGAAATATTTGCCAGTTCACAAAGGGCTCAGCTACACTGCATGTAGAAATGAATACACTACAACTCCTGTGCTGTGATCATGCTAATCATTTCTCAACCAAAAACGAAAGGACATACAGATCAACGGTGAGTGGTTAAGAAACACAAATCTAGCTGATGTATAACAGTATTTGCCACAAGATAGACTCATATCATTTTGAGTGTTTTTGCTGTGGGAGAACGGAAATCCCTGAACGTTGAGGCATATGAGCTAGATTCTATCATTTGTGGTACGAAACAACACAGCACAGCACAACTTACCTTCGCTTTTTTAGATGTGTTGGTGGTAAAGCGTGTATGCCTATATGTGACTCTGCACTTTTGATTTGTCTTGTGGTTTTTGCTTTGGTTCCTAATGAGTCATGCAGTCATTTGACACAGATATGTTTTTCTGCTCCTGGTTTTTGCATTAGTATCAATCGACTTCCCGGACTGTCTTACACAAACCTTTAATATGCAGAGGTTCTCAGAGAAAGACTGAGCTCATCTTTAAAAAAAATCCCTGTTTGTGCTTATTTTTCACTCTTTCATCTTTTCAGTTATTTGGAAATAGTCAGTGGGCGTAGATTATTATTGCGTATTTATATGTATTACGGATGAGGCTTTAGGTTTGAGAAGTTTTTTCCTTCACACAAACATCAACATGAATCCTTCCTACGCCGGACTGATAGACGCATCAAAGGCTGTCATTGATCATTATGTTTGCTTCCAGTTTTCATACCCACCAATCACAGAGGTTGTTCCAAAAACTGTTGTCAAACTTCTCTAGAACTATCCATTTTAGATTTTAGATTAATAATAAAATAATAATAAAATTAATAAAATAATAAGTCTCACTTATTTTCTTATTTCACTAAAATGTCCAGTATCCATCTGCTTGGCTCAGTCTTTTGTCAGTGAATGTTTTCCTGACCAAAATCTTAATAGAAATGATCCTGTCTGAGGCTCACAAACCGGAACATTCATTCTTCTTCAGGTCTTCCTATCTAGTTTTTGTTCAGCATTAAATGAGAAGATTGACTTCTCTCATGTCTGTACACTGAATATGAAGCTGATGTCAGCAGGCAGTTAGCTTAGCTTAGCACAAAGACTGGTAACAAGGGGAAACAGCTAGCCCGACTCTGTCCCAAGGTAACAAGATCTGCCTACCAGCAGCTTTAAAGCTTATCCATCAACAAATTATATCTTGTTGGCTTATTAAGTGCAAAAAAGGAATTCACAGCAACAAATGCAGCCAGGCTAGTTGTTTCCCCATGTTTCCTGTCTTTGCGTTAAGCTAAGCTAAGCCAACAATCTCCTGGCTGTAGCTTAATGTTTAGCAAACATAAATCAGAATGGTATTAATTTTGATCTAATTGAACATGAATAAGCGCATTACCCCAAATGTCAAACTTACCCTTAAAGACAAAATTTAAGAAATATGTTTAACATATTTCGTAAAATGGAAAAAAGTATTTAGTGCCAGTTTTCACTGATACAGCTTAGAACATAGTATTAAAGGCCCAGCCCTAAATCGATATCACATATGTTGTCTTTGTGTCTGCAGGGCGTGATCGACTACATCTTCTTCTCCAAGACCCACATGAGTGTTCTGGGCCTGCTGGGACCGCTGGACAGCCAGTGGCTCATCGACAACAACATCACCGGCTGCCCCCACCCCCACATCCCCTCGGACCACTTCTCCCTGCTGGCCCAGCTGGAGCTGCAGCCTCCCCTGCCCCACCCGCTCAACCCCCTCAATGGGCTGCACCTTCCGGTCCACAGGTAGTGCAGCCCGAAAGAGCCCCGCCCACCCTTCTTACGCCACCTGCAAACACTGTCCTCCCCCTCCAGCTTTATACAGGACCCTGTACAGTTTATCGATCATGTTTAAACTCAGACCCCTCCAAGACACCCCTACCCAAAAGGAGTGAAGTATTTGCCCGTTTGTTGCTCCTTTTTGTGTTTTTGCACACTGTAAATGTTTTATTTTATTTTACTTTTTCTTTCTCCCCTTAAAAAGGCTTGATACCAAATGTACGGCTTGGGATGAAGTTGCTATGGTAACCCCCAATGTCAATTTGTTTGTTTGCCTTAGAAACGATCATGACCACTTCTTAGATTCTGCTCCTACAACAACAAACCTTAACTAATTATATCAACTTTTAAAAGATACATTTTCAACACAAATGTCAGCAGAAAAAGCTGAATATCATTTGCATTTCTTTTTTCATTTCACACAGCTGTGAAATCATCTTTTTAGAGTAAAAACAGAACTGGAACCTGGTATCACTCCCAAATTAACTGACAGGTATTTTAATAAAAGGAGTAACACTACAAACAACTGAATCAAAGCTAGGAATGTTGTACGAGGATATGAAAGGTTTGTTTGCATCAGTCTTTTTTGTAAACACAGGTCCATATTTTTAGTTCTGATCAGCCGAAAAACACCAACATAGTTAATTCAACTACATGTGAGTAAAGACCATATAATAATCTAACATTTTTAAGGTAAAAGAAGTACTGATTGGGCATTTTTAAAAGTAATGTAATGTCATTGTAACACTAAATTGGTGTATTTCATATGGGAACAAGAACGTAAAATCGTCTCATGTCACAGCTGCAGGTCTTGTGAATCTTTGGTCACATGACAGCGCTGATGATATTGATGACGGATTGTTTTAGGGGGCTTTCAGATTGAAACTTGCCTTGTGGATATACTAGTCGTTCAAGTCGAACGTTTCCTGGATCCCATTTCCACATCATTTGGGATTATGTTGCCTGGTCCAGTTTTAAATAACGTGAGAAAGAAGGTCACCTGACTCATCTTTTTTGCAAATCTAAACCTGAAAGCTGCCTCATGGTGCTGCGTGGATGTTACCGAGCTGCTGCATTCACTTCTATGAATTTCTTCTTCTTTAATATGGGTCTTGTACCTCTCTTTGATCATTGCTAAATATTTGATCTGCAGAGTTATGGTGTTCATCTTGGCAGATTCATGCTCGCTGTAGTTTAAAAGATGAGATTCTAGAGTTTTCTGCATCACTATGAAGTAATAAAACAATCAATTCAGGCCGAATGAGTGCCGAAATCCCAAATTTAAGCCTTGCAACCAAATTAGCCCCTGCTCTATGACTTGCTTTGAAAAAAGTATTTTAACACAAGAAATAGATTTGTAACACGATCCTGACATTGACCAACAAGGCGCTTTACACTTTTAGCTTTTGAACACCTACGGTCTTAAAAGAGAATTGTCCCGTTTCCCATCACCTGACTGGCCAAAGAATCTCCCCAGAATGAGTGACTCATGCTCTGTCGATAATAAGGTAGTATTTATTTATATGTCACAGAGAAAAAAAAACTTTTTGAGAAGAATCTACTGAAGATTTGTGACCAGGAGTTGAATGTATTATGTACCGAAGGCTCACTAGGAAATTGGTTGTTTGAGCCTCTTAATGCCAGATTCCTGTGGACTCTAAACTTTGTATATTTATGTCAGATGATTAGAACTAATAGCCCTTTATGTACGTTGTAACTCAGGGCTATGCTATGCATCCAGCAGTACCTCTCAAATAAAGACTCGAAAGAGTCGCACCGTACGAGCAAAACCAAACAGGAAGCTATTGTTCTGAAAATCCTTTATAAGCACAGGTAGTGTATGTATGGCATACAAATATGTTGTTGTTGTAGAAATCCCACGTCTTTGTGCATTTTTGATTAAAAAAAAATACTACTGGACTTTTGTTCCATTCCCAGAAAGAAAAACTTGGGAAATTTAAATTTGTCAAAATTTTGAGTCGCAAAAAGCATTGAGATAAATTTGGTTTAGATTCATCATCATTTTGTTTCGTTGTACGGCTTTTAAGAGCAGCTCAGTGTGGGATCGACAGGATAAATGAATGCAAGAGTTGGACTGGGTATCAATAATAGTGCTGCTATGATGGAGAATTTCAGTACCAATTAAATAAAATAATATTTTTTTCCCCATATTTTGAGAAACTAAACAATACTTCTACAAACCCTGTTACAAAAGGGGGCACAATCCTGAAATGTTTAATGTCGTCAAAACCACTGGCTCCAAATGCAGGGGTCAGGACCCACACAAGGGGTCATGAGATAATTAACATGGTAGAAAACAAGAGAACTAATGCATTTTCAACAAAATCCCTGTTTCAATCAGCCCCACTACACTGTCTAAAATAAAATACTGTCTAAATTTGTAAACATTTTGATCTAAATCAGGAAAAAAGTATAGAGGATTGATACCCAGCCCTGTCTGTGCAGGCAGACTGAAATAGCTGCCTGCACATGCTCTCAGTGCTTAACATATCTGGCACATTTCCTACTGTAGTGTCTAGTAAACCCTGACTTTTTGAGATTGAATTAGTTAAATTAGTCATAGCATTTGCTCTGTTCAGTATTTGAAAAGAAAAGCCATAATTCTGGAATAAATGGTGTCAGCACAACACGGCGTCCTGTAACCTCAGCTTTAAACTGCAATCTGACCGGTTTTACCGGCAGTATCGGCTTTGCTTCATTTGCACATGATTTGACGCTAACCTCCAGTTTTGGTGGAGTTGATGAAGTCTATCTTTGTGAGCATTTTGAGGCCTATACTTCACTCCTACACTCACCTCACTGGGTTTTCTGATTTTGTACAACAGCTGTACATAAATTAAATTGCCTTTGACGACAGGGCGTCTTTCACATCTGTGAGGGGAATGTACCATTCTCCGATAAAGGGGCGTATTTTTTCTCACAAATCAAAGATGTACTTGTACTTTTATTTTCTTTGCCCGATGCACTAAGATCTCTTATGTGAATACAACCTCCACCTGTGTCTGATGCTCAACATTGTTTTTGAACTACGGGCATTTTCTGTCTCTAACTAACATGCAGTCTTTCAATTGGTACTTTGTACAATTCAGTATTACCAAGTTTTTGAGAAAAAAAGATAAATGTTCTAGGTTTAAAAGCAGTTTGTCTTGATGGCTTTTATTTCTCCAGCGCACATCTAAGTGTCCACCCAACGCTTTTCAAGCTCTGATGATGTTGCTAAATCAAAATTATTTTGGTTTCTTCCTCTTTCTATTTGATGTTTCCCCCTCTGGGTTTTCCATATTCCTGTCAATCACACACATCATCCAACATCAGCCACTTGTTTTTTCCTTTTTTCACCAAAATATCCAACTGTCATTACCTATAAGCATTTGACCTGTTAATTTTGTGTCTGTACAGTGCACCTCACATACTTTTTCTACAAACAACGTGCCTAGTTTGTACAATTTCTCCAACAGCAGCACTGCCCATGAGACCAAGACGCTCAGAGATTAACCCAGCACCATCATCCAGCCATCTGTCCATCCATCCTTTCATCCTTCCAAACCTTCCTGAAGCAACTCTTTGGGAATGAGATCATGAGGAATTGAAACTGAAGAGCTATTCACCTCAGACAGGTTTCTGTTTTTTTTAATCTAACAGGTTTTTTGTATCCGTAACATCATGGACAAACCCGTCATTTTTACCAGATATCTGAACACTTGTTTGTGGGTTTTTTATTTTGTATTTTAGTTCTGCAAAAAAAGTTGCTGTATCGTTCACAGGATTACCATGACCATCATCGCATGCAATTTCTGAATGTAAAAATCCTGTTGTTCAATATCTGGCCATTTTTGTTTTTGTTTTTTCTTTGTTTTTTCTTCCTTCCACTGTTAAATTCATTCAGGCTGATTTTACAGCAGTGTGGGCGCTACATGAGGTTATTAAATCTGTGGCGGCCAATAAGATGCTCAGCAATGTTCACTGGGGAAAATGAGGAATATCTGACAAAGCATTTAGCATTTGGACGAAGGGTTTGTTGTCTTTAATCTGCTTTAACGTGTTGAATTTGATAGCCTCCAAATAGGCCTGGTCGCTGCATCCAAACCAGAAACCATGAATTTAAAGGACCTAAATGTATAAATGTAATAATATTTTTTCTCAGTGTATTAACCTGTAAATATTAATGTGGAAAAGGAATTCAAAACGCACCAAAGAAGTCTGATTGAATTAAGAACTGAAACGGTACAACCTTCAAAGGTATGGTGTATCATGAATATTTTCAGTAACTCTTGACACAGTGTCATTGTTCATTTACAATAATGACCACAGGTTAATGCACTGGTTATTTATTTAAAGTGATACCATAAGATTTGGACTACAAAGGGGGAAAGGCAGCAACTTTAGTGTCAAAACACTTTCTAAAGTCTTTTTGGGTTCCTGTCTCTCCTTCACAAATGTAATTGCAAGAAAAAATAGTGACAAGAACAAGAAATGCAATGCTATGCTATTATTTCTTACTTGGAGCATTCCTAGAAAAAGTCCTTTAAAGTTGCTGCCTTTCAGCAACTTTCAGCAGATTTGTTTTATTGAAAAGTGAAGTAAGTGAAGTGAAACTGGGTGAGGATCCTCAGCCACCAGCAGTCACCAACAAAGGTGCTACATTTTAAAGGACTGCATTTAAACCTTATATGTAACAACTGTTTTAAGTTTCGAGACAAGCAGCTCTTCACCACATTGGTTTTCAACCCAGCCAGCCTCCACCGCAGATGGGGGGAAGCAGCCAGTGAGCGTTTGGCCGGAAGGAAAACTTTGTGGTGGAGAGCTAAACTTAGACAAAGCGGGTTTTGTACTGTGGAAGCCAAAGTACGCATCGCGTCTGACAATTAAATGTCAACAAGGGGCAAAGCTGCAGCGACACAAGCTACTGTTCGCCTGCGAGGAGTGGCAGTTTGTCTAACGTAGGTGGCACTGATGATAAAATATACAGATCTATCCTTTGTAGATGTCCTGTAGAAGGTGTGTTCCTGAAGTCATTGGGGCCTCTCCAAGCATAAACATAAAAAGATTTGAAATCAGTGAAAAGTTGTTTTCAAAGAGCAGGATGCCGTTTATTATTATTATAATAAGGATGACTACATCACACTGTCATCAGTGTTGGATGAAGAGCTGCTCTAATTTGGGGATTTTCATGCTTTCATTTAATTTAAAAGAGTACATGGCCCTCTGTGAATTCATAAAGCTTTTATGATAAACTAAAATTTTACACGTACATAGTTGAGTTTACTTGTCAGGAGGAGTACCACTCAAAACAGCTGTATAATGTCAGCTTTGGCTCTGGAGGGTGCTTTCTAAAGTTTGAAACAATAACCCTGATTATGCAACAGTTATCGTAGCTTGTGCTTGGATAATTTTAACAGAAAGCCTACGTTACAGTCTGGAGGTGTGGGATTTGAAACAGGCAGGCATTAAGGAAGCAGGGGGGACATGCTATTGAGCTGCATTATGGAAATTGTAGAGACTGAAAGTCAGGATATCTCAGTCTCATGCTGAGATTGTGACCATCCTGACCATACTAAATCACGTTGGTAACAGGACACTCTTTCCAAACAATTAGGGTTATATATAAAAAGATTTGTTAGAAAAGCTAACATGTGGGTTACAGGAGGTTTTCATCCAGAAATGTGATTTGGTTGATCTCTCTGTAGTTCCTAGGGGCCGATACCTTGGGCCAGCTCCGGCCCAAATAACACTCATGTATGTCTAGAGTATCGAAGCAGGGATATGTACTTGAATGAATGGAGGACTTCTACAAAGGCTACATCTGTATTTAATATGTGAGCAGTTGCACCTCATTTGAAGCCAAACATGCTCAATAGCACTTGTATCATCTCTCCACACAAAGCCCCAACCCTCCCCACCTCCTGTAGGCAATAAACATGTCATTTTCGAAGAGTCTTTTTGTCTGTGCTTTTATTCTGTATAAGAAGACAAGTCATGGATACAACAAGAGAACATCAGAGGTTACAGAACCATCATCCAAAATATAATCAATGAAATGTTAACAGCAGGATCTGATTCACATTTACAGGAAAGCATTCCTTATTTTGTGCATCGTGTGATTATTAACTTTATTAAAACAATCACAGATTTTTACTTCACAGTACAGATTTGTGGTTTCTGACAATAAAATGGCAACATAAATACACTGTACAGCAATAATATGAGTATTACTAATAAAATGTCCGTACCTCTGGCATATGATGAAGCACTAAGACAGTCTCATTGTATAATAATAAGCAGGTTTCTAAAGGCCAATTGATTGAAGTGTTAAACCGTATGAAATTTGAATCTAAATCTGGACAGTAGCTCAGCTCTCCTACAGTTAATTCACAGCTTATTAAATGAAGCCATTGTTACGTCAAATGTGGCCACAGAATCATCAGAAGTTGGTTGTTCCAGCAGTGGGTGAAACAGTGGTTTGGGCCATATTTTTCCTGTAAATAAAATGAAAAAAAATTAATTGAACTGTAGAGTGAATAACAATAATAATTATTTGTGTTTAGGATTGCAACAACTCATTATTCATCTCATTATTATCTTTCTGCCTAAACATTTCTTTTATAAAAGCTATTTTTACAAGATATTGTAACAAAATAATTTTGGTTCGACAACAATTAGCTGTAGAGTACAATCGGTGAAAAAATATAAAAACAAGTCATTACTTTTGAAAATTTCTGATGTAGTCAATGACCCATGATGCCGTTGGACTGACACAGACTTTAGAGCCGTTCTTCCTGGTGATTCTGTGGAGAAAGAGAGTGGTTACTTTATTTAATAAAGTTCAAATGTTCACAGTGTTCAGATGCTGCTCCCATTCACAGACACTGACAACAAGAGTTACAGTACAGAACCTTTCAGTTTAACAGAAGTGGTTCAGTAATGTAGTAGTTCTGAAATTTTATTGATAACTTCAGTTTTTCCATTTTGTGCAATGTTGTACTTTCATTTCACTTTTACTCTGAGTGCAGAACTACCTTTGGTTAAAAAGAATCTTTATGTGGCTAATGGGACACTTCCAAGCTGTATCAATGCTCGAATGTCAAACAAGAGCTAAAGTAGTAAGTACAGAAGTTTACTCGAGTACTGTTCTTCAAGGACTAGTACAACACTTTGGGATCTATTTATCTGCTTTCTTCCCAAGATGACTTAGATATCACTCTGTAAGAGTGGAGCTGATGCCAAGAGGCAATTAGCTCAGATCAGAGAGAAATACTGTATTTTCCCCTGCACCACAACAGCAATGGTTACTTTCCAGATTACAATTTTCCATACAAAATATTTAAGATTAAAATGTGATGCATTTTGTTGAAACCAACCAACTTGCTTGAATGCTTCACCCCAAGCAGCTACAAAATCATAGAACAGGAAAATGATTAAAGGGTGGCTTCTGCATGATGAATACATTAACTTTTGATACTTAAGGAAAAAGGTAAAAACTTTGAGCGCATACTTTATTTGTAATTCAGTGTTTTTACATTGTGTTATTGCCACTTGCTGGTATAGTATCTTTTACAAATAGCTACTTTTACTTCAGAATCTAAATACTTTTTTCACCTCTACTCTCATCAGGATAAAGCCACCCTGTCAGCAGCTGTAACCAATCAGCAATCTTTGACTCAATTAGGACAACTTGAATTTCCCTCGGGATCTATCTATCTAGGACTACTCACATGATTTCAACCCAGCGACAGTGTCCCGAAATAGGAATCATTTCAATTTTCTTGATGACCCGAAGAGGGATGATATTCGAGGTTGTCCGTATACAGGAACACCCCGACCTGGGAAAAGCTGTGAGAAGGTAACATTTAAGAAGCAGTTAAATTATTGTAGTGATACATTTTACCCTTGAGAAGCCCTTTGAAAATCAGAGTGAACTTTGGCAGGAAAAATGAACTCAAGGTCCTGTCAGTAGTTCTTTCTGGAGCTTTCAACCGCATGTCACAGTCTTTCTCAGCCAATGGAGTCTGATCACATATGATGACCAAACTCCATCCTCTGAGAAAGACCGTAAGATGCAGTTGAAAGCTCCAGAAAAAGCAAGTAAGTGGACCTTGAGTTAAGATTTTTTATTTTTTGTCAAATCCTACAACACCCAACTCACACAACAGAATATAACTATTTACTTCAACTGTAAAACTGTAAAAAAAAAAAAAGTATGTTTTGTACTGTTTGTGTTTTACAACAGAAAAATTAAATTAAATAAAACAAGAATTAAACATTAAAATAAAATCAATATGAGACAATTACCACAGAAAGATAAAATGCCTGCCTACTGCGAGATATCAAAATGAATGTATAAAAATTATAGTGTTAGAGTGACATAAACATAAACAAAGAGAAATATAGTGCCTGAAAAAATTATATTTAAAATTACATTACATTACATGTGGTCCAGACATATTAAACTGAACTGAACAATCCGACAGACTGGATTACTGAATTTATTTTCAAAAAGAAAATCAATAATAAGAAAGAAAAATCTCTTACCATGCAGAGTGGAGATGCAGCAGAAGAGAGTCAGAGCGGCCAGGAGGAGCAGTGGTTTAGTCGTCATCTAGGCGGTTGTTTTGATCTTTCAAGACCAATGAGGATATGAGAGTGATGTGAGAGTGTCTGTGAGAGTGAATGGAGTAGAGTCCGGGTTTATAAAGAGGCAAATACGGAAGTGTGTGTAGGAAACACTCCTTATTTTTCCTGTCTTGACACATGAAATATGGAAATTGTGGCTTGCTTTTTTTCCGGGGGTTTCTCCTAAATAACCTTTATACGGCAAAAGGTATTAGTGTTTTGTTTTTTTTGCTTTTTAGATATTTATATATTATTATCCCACAAATCTGATATGTTAGCACTTTTAGAAATAAAAATGAATTCTCATTACGGATTACATAAATGACAACACTAGCAGTCTGTCATTGCCTTCCAAAACAACCCAAATGAGTATTTTCTGATCTGCAGCCCTCATCAGCAGGAGGTTTGTCTGTGCCTTACAATAAGTACAGGAAATTATAAAACACTTTTATTGTTAAGGCTGAAACTAATTTGCTAACATGGGAAACAGGGAAAGATCATGGTTAAAATAAACCAACATCAGATGTGAATTATTAAGGATTTTATGCCAGTTCCAGCATGAAGACAACCACATAATGACCAACCAGATGTGGCAACAAATGAACAGAGCAGAATGCAATGTAGCATTTTAAATGACTAAATATGTGACTGAAGGTGGTTTTATGGGTCTGATTGCCTTGATGAATACTCTTCAGTACCCTACTCTACAAACTGCTTAACAGTAACTAATCCCTCTGACTGAATCTGAGAATTATTGATGCTATACATTTTCCCAGAGGGTCGCTGACCTGAACTGCTGAACTGCATTTTACCTCCAGGTGCTACAGTCTGGTTGCTGGTTGAGATTCTAAAGTATCATGTTTAAGAGAGAAAAAAACAAAAACTTCTATATAGTTATTTTTAATACCTGTCACCGGGTCAGATTCCGGTGGTAACGATGTTGAAAACGCTACTGCTTTTCCCCACAGAGGCCGCTAGAATCGACACAAAATGAAGGTTCCTTGAGCTACTTTAATTTTATCTAGATGCAGCATCAGCACATGATAGAAGAGCTCTAAGAACGGCAACTACTGCAGACAACTCAAAAGCAGATTCATGGACATTTGGTCCAGTGCAGACTTACTATAATTGCAACAGTTTGGGTTCAACCTGATCAGAATCAGGAACAGAAAATACTCTGCAGGATACTGGAGAGTACCAAGAACCAAACTTGCGCTGAGCTGCTGAGCTGTACTTCTGTATTTGCCTTGGAGGTTCATGACCACATCCTTTTCTGGTAAGTAATTAATTGGGGGGACTCATATCTGCCCTAAAATTAGACTGCAGTTCCCGTTTATGAAAATAATATGTATATTAGATTAAATTTAGATAAGCTCAGTCATATACAGTAAATACAAAATCTGCTGGGATCAGGTTTTGAACCTGGTTCTAGTGGGTCAAAAGAGGACACTAAAAGTTTAAGGTACATGCATATTTTTTTATTAAATAATTATGTTTCCAGTTAATCAACTTAATCAGGCTTTAAAATGGATGTTACAAGGGTCAATATACAATAACCGTTTAGTGTCAGATTAACAGTACAGTATAAATCTTATCAGACAGAGATCCCTGAGACTACATCTTATCAAATACAGGTCTGCAGCCTAATGTTTATCCATGTGGGGGTCCTTGACACCAGAAAGGTTAAAAACCACTGCTCTAGGGTGGCCTTCCAGTGGACAAAACATGATGTGCCCTTACTCCACTGGAAGGGCATAATAACATAATAAAGTGAGCTCTATGGTGCTAACCCTGACCCTGACTAAGCTCTTAAATACACATCACGTGTGTCTTTGTGAAACAAATGGGTGCACAACTTTATTTATCCACCGGATAGCTGATACAGACAATGCAGTAGGGGCCCAAGTTGACATGAAATGGCACAAAATGCATTTGACACCTAACACATTATTCCTTATTTGGCTTCAGTTCTCCGTCACTACCTCAGGTCTTCAGTACCCCCAAATGTAGCTCAAACAGGCAGATTGGTGACTTGGGAAAAGTATGATAAGTTATTCCCTTTAATTGGCCATTTGCAATCGCTTAAATCATCCTCTCCCAGCTCCAATGTGTTTTAGGAAGACCTACTGGCAGCAATTGAATATAATATTCATAGATATGTTTTTATTAGTGTATAATCAACTGAATATAGGAATCTGTGTTTTAATTTCTTTAGAATGAGTAAATTTTCCATGGAGTGGAGTTGAACTGATATGTTTCTACAGTAGCCCAGAATGGACAAACCAAACACTGGCTGTAGATATGGACCAACATAGTTTCTCCTACACACTTCACAGCTCATTCTCATTGTGAGTGTGATGCTTTGGGTGATGTGCTGGGAAACCTTGGGTCCTATGCAGGGCTAAGCAGCCCCATATGCAACAAACTGTGATATACTGACCACTGCAGACCAGGAACATCCCACAAGAGCTGCAGTTTTGGAGATGCTCTGACCCAGTCGTCTAGACATCACAATTTGGCCCTTGTCATAGTCGCTCAAATCTTCACACTGACCATTATTCTGCTTCTAACACATCAACTTTGAGGACAAAATGTTTTACTTTTGTGAATCAATCTGACATAGTTTCTCCTACACACTTCACAGGTCCTTTGTAAGACCAGTGTTTGGTTTGTCCATTCTGGGCTACTGTCGAGACATAGTGGTTCAACATGGGGGACTCTATGGAAGGCGACTCAGCGCCTGTAGATAAAAACGGCTCATTCTAAGGTAACAAAAATATAACCATTCCTATATTCGGGTGATTATACACTAATAAAAACATAGTTATGCATGTAAATGTACATTTTAATCTTGGACTCAGATAAGGAGATATATTTGGGGTTTTGGCTATTCAGCACAACATTGTGTTATCTTAAAAAACCCTTGGTGAAAGTATATTGCCGCCCTCAACAGAAAAAATTAGGAAGTTGAAAGAATTTGAGAGTATTATTTAATAGTCTGCAAACAAATTATGTCATACACGGGTATTTGAGGGAATGACAAAATTAAAAACGTCTAATTTAAAGTAACTGCGTACCATCAGATCACAATCTGTGAACTTGTTACAGTCGCGATTAGTCAGACGTCAGTGAAGTCACACAGTTCAGTACTACTACTTTTAAAAGACGTTCTCACTATAATACTAAGTTATATCAAATAAAAGTCCAGGTTAAGGAAAAAGTTAGGTTTATATAACTGTGGTTTTAATCTGCATTAATGTGCATTTAAAATTTAAAATTTAAATAGTACAGAGAGCTTCTGCGCATAATTTTGGGAACTGAACCTCAGTCAGATTTGTCAAGTTCAAGTACATCCAACAATCTGACCTCCTCCCTTCCTCTTCCCTGATTTGATATGAAACAGCCGTTTCAGTTAGATTGCCTGCTTACATAATCATGGTGCCTTGCCCAGAGTTCTGTGCTAACAAAACAAAGGTCAATGTAACACATTTTTGCAACAGTTTGCACTTTAATTAAATTCAGAATTTTCATTTCCTATTTCTTCTTCTCAAGAAGTGCAATCAATCGTTCCAAATAAGGGCTTAGCAAATATTCAATTGCAGTTCAATTCAGATTCTGAGAAAAACAGCTCAATATTTGTGTTACATTGATTCTGATTGGTTTAATTTATATTTTGTGTAGTTAACTGACAATTGACTAATAATATAATGTATATAATATTAAAATAATAATTAAAAAACAGATCACAAGATAAATTCCTTTATCAACATTTGATCAACTAAAAAGTCATGTTCAGGCCACATTAACCTGACAGTAGCTGAAAGAGAAACTAAATTAAAATACTACTGTACTAATTATTTCCTTAGTCCTTCAAGCACATATCTGAGGAAAAACGTTACTTCACACCAACTCAATACTGAACAGGAAACTGTAAGTGTGTGAAATC